CCATCAACTAAGGACACAAAACCGAGACTTGCTGGGAGTAGGAAGGGTTATGTGGGTCTGTCCTAGCAACTTTGTTGCCAGTGTCCATTCACCCAAAGGTAGCTACATATAGTCTAAGAGTGAAAGTCCCGTGTCCTGTACTGTGCAACTGAGCAAACTCAAAATCTCTTTATTGTTCTCTGTGTGAACTGGAAACATTCCCCTCACTTCCTGTCCGAAACATAAAAACAGGAGATGAGGGAATAGTTCATCAAAATAAGGTACAAAAAAATACATAATAGGTTGCAATACACTTTCTGTGCCAGTAACAATGGACAGCAAGCAGAAAATGAAAGGGGATCCTCCAAACTGAGACACAAACAGCAATATTAATAAAAATGGAAATACTTTTGGCTCAAGTTACACTTGAATAAATCTGTTCAAACCACAATGGCCCACGAAAACAATCAGATCCAAGAATACTCTAGACCAGCCTTTCTCAACCTTTTTAACAGGAAGGGTCCCATGAAATAACCTACAGACCTCAGAGAACAATTCCTGTATCTACAGCTCACAGTGCATTAGAATGAACACTATGTTAAGACCCAGGAATAAATAAAAGCAAAGGGAATATGGCATACATTGTGCATTTGACACCTAGGACTGCTTTATACAACAAAAATATATTATTATTGTTGTTGATGACATGCCCCCTTATGTTAACAGTGAGTGGAAAAGTGCCTTCTGACACCGATAGTCTGTAAAATGCTCCATTACATTGGTGGTTAGTGGAGCAGTAGCCAATAAGGACCTGTGTCAGCAGGCTTTCATTCTCTTCAAATGAGTATTGAATTCCCTTACAAATCTATGGGGATGCAAAAAATACTTGAAGAGGCTCAAGTGCAGGTCAGAAGGTTGTGAACTGCAGGTCAAATGCACATGTCAGTGGATTCTGAATCTCAGAAGCATCTCAAACTGATGCCATTGACACAAGCCCAAAGCCCGTCAGCACAGGCCCTAACACTGGTGGTCAGATGGAAGAGCGTCTCTTACATAGAAGGTCAGTGGGGAAAACCGCACACTTTACTCATTGCTATGCTGCTGACAGTGGTTATATGCCTCAGAAGCAGAAATACTGATTGCTCAAGGAACCCCCTAGCAACCTCTAGGAACCCTATGGTTTCATGGAACCCTGATTGAGGAAGGCTGCTTTAGACAAAGAAGTGACAAATTTAAGTTTATTAAATGTGGCGACTACTGTACACAGGACATAATAACTGGGATTTGCACTAGGACGTTGAGTCCTTCTTTCAAACAAGACAAATGATACAATAAAGAGATTAGATGTAGTAAGTGGCAATCATCTTTTTTTTTCCAACACTTTGGGAAACGATGTTGTATTGTATTCCTTTTAAATTTTTTTGCTCAGTTGCCCAATAAATAAAATCTCATCAACATGTTGATGTCATATGTTTTTCAATTTACAACTGTCATTAAATGAAAACCTGGTGACCCTGCCATGAAGCTCCTTGTTGTGACACTTCATGTTATTAGGCCTGGTTCACACCTGTGCGTTTTGTAGCGCGTTCAACAAAACGCTCAAACATGAAAATCCCATTGTTTTCTATGGGTATGGTTCACACCTTGCCGTATTTCACCCCGTCTGAACGCGCTACAAAACGGCCTTCGCCTGAAAAAGGTACATGAGCTTCTTTGCTGCGTTTTTGTTGCGCGTGTCCATTGGGCTACAGCCAAGTAGCCCTCGGAAACGCGCGTTTGTTGCGCGTTTTTTACCGCGAATCGCTGTAAAAACCCACACCACGAAACGCGTGACAAACACGCATATTCGATACGCCTAGGTGTGAACAGAGGCTTATAGGATGACAACTGTCTTCCACACTGCTGCATTTTTACACTGGCTGAGAGTAAAAGCGGCCAAGCTATCACGCACTGCACAGACATGACCAACTTTTGTCACTATAATGGCCGTGACACACTGCACGCGAAGCAGCGCGGAGCGGGGGCGCGCTGCCTTTGCGAGCAGTATGTCATGTAATTTTCTGCTCGGCACCTCAGCTTGCGAGAGCTCGCGGAGCTGAGCGTGCCAAGATGAACAATTTCAACTTCAGCCAATCGGCTCGCGCGTATAAACCAGCACGTCGCGATGCGACAGCTGGCAGGTTGTTACGAGCTGGACGAGCCGATTGGCTGAAGGTGCAGTCAATCATCTGACTGCACTCAGCTCACACACTGCACGCAAAGCTCCGTGCCGGATAGCTTTGCTTCGCTCTGCACGGCTTCGCGTGCAGTGTGTCACGGCCTTTAGGAGGCCAGTCCAGAGCGATGATGTGGACCTAATGCTGACAGGAAGTGGCTAGGGAACCATTTACACCAGAGCTGGGCAACTTCGGCCCTCCAGCTGTGCTTTAACTACAAATCTCAACATGCCCCTGCCTCTAGGAGTCATGCCTGTAACTGTCAGTCTTGCAACGCCTCATTGGACTTGTAGTTCCACAACAGCTGGAGGGCTGGAGTTGCCCACTTCTGTTTTACATCACAGCAGAGTGCAGTGCACTTCAATGCACATGTTTTTATGCGTTGCGTTAGGCAGACCATTCATTCTGAGCTGTCTGTGAACGCACCTTAGACAGTCATAGGTCCTGCCCTATTTTTCAACAAGCCGCTCACTTCAGAACTTCAATACACAGCCCCCGGAGGCTGTGCAACAATATAATACTGGCAATGGTCATTGTGGCCTTCCTGGTGTTTAAATGACATACTCCCAGTATAATAGGCCACACACTTCAAAAAATCACTACGCAGTGCCAGAGGCTGTACAGCAACATAATGCTGGAAATGGCCAGAAGCCATTGTTCAGTGCGGCCAAGTGACCGTACTGACCAATGAGAATCTCTTCTGAGCCAACATACTGAAAGCAAGAAGAGATTCTTATTAGTCCTGAGGAAGGTGTGCTGGAAGACAGAACAGATATCACTGGCTATGAGGAAGTCTAAGGACAGATTCTTATTGGTCACATGGCTGTGCTGACCAATGACAGCTGGCCATTGCCAGTATTGAGGGTAATGTGGTGATGTTGTGAAGCGTGTGGCCCGTTAAAGCGTAGACTGGGAAGGGAGGGTGTTGTGAGCTCGTTCACCTTTTTATTCTTGGTGACCAGGTGAACGAACCCTTTCATTGAACTGTACATGTACAGGTCTGAAGGCTGGCTGAATGAAAGCTACTGTATACAATAAACATTGCCACCCTGCTATTATATAACAGATGTAAACATGGCAGGAGCTTGCTAAACTCAGTCCAGCAGCAGTATGGAAACGGCTGGTGACTTCCCTGTAGGGTCCTCTCCCTATCCTGCACCGGGAATGTACACAAGACTGATGAAAGCTCTTCTCACACTGTGCCTGACAGCCTAGGGAAGTCAGAACTAGGCAAATCATGAAAGTTCTCCTCACATTAAATCCCCACTTCCTGCCCACAACAAACATGGCTGATCGCGACCTGCAGCGACTCCACCTGTCTAATCTTCTCACGTCATTATCATTCTGTGTGGAAATAGTCAATAAACACACACCCATCGTGACAGAACCGCACACCTTCCCCCAGTGAGCCCCTCTACATGTCAGGATGGGAGGAGGGGAGTGTCAGGGCCCTCCGCTCGGTGCCCTGGCACAGGGGAATGGCAGCGCTCTGGACAACATGTATGTCTGTCTATAGGTGACCACAGACACATACCCGATCCGACTGCCCGTATGTCACCGCTCCCTCCCCCGCACTCGCCGTGCTCCCCGCAACAAGTCGGTGTCGTCGCTGCTTTTCGTTGCTCCGGCTGTCTCGGCTAGCGTTGATGACGTCGTGCTCGTGACGTCAAGCTGTCCCGGGATACACAGGGTTAAGTGTGGCGAGGGGCGGCGCTGGCAGAGCG